AGGATAGCAAACAAAGTTGTACTATTGTCTTCTAATTTTTTCCTGAAAGGAACAGTTAATCATTAATTATTTGATCAATCTTGCATGTCTCTATTTGTTTTCCTGAGAAACCACTTTGAAGATATCAATAAGTAATACAATAACCACTGTTAATTTCCTACCATTTTGTTTGTAACTCTATTTTGTTTGTATTGTTCTTATGCTATTTTATAGATGGATGTCTGTTTGTTAATGTTTTCCTTCCTATTTCTTAAAATCAAAAAAATAAATTTGTTTATCATTAGGAAGTTTTAAGATGACTACCAATAGCAATCAGAACTCTGTGTTTTCTTGCTCAAATGCAATTAAAAAGAAAAGAATATTCTTCCCCAAGCACAAGAAATAAGTCCTTTCCCTTTTATGTTCTTTTTTCTTGGCCTGTTTCTTTTCATGCCCATCTGACAAATTGTATCCAATTTTTGGAGGATTTTTTAAATACTGATGAGCTCACAGAAACTCAATGAAGCTTGGGGAGAAAGCTTAAAAGTAAACCTCAAAACTGGTCTTCATGGAGATGTTCCTACCACTAAGCATTAGGTCCTGGATCCCAGATAACGGTGGGAAACAGTTCATCTAATTAGCAGTACTTGCCGCATTCTTTCCATACATTAACTTCAAAGGAGGTTGAGAAAGCACGTATATGAAAAATTGAAAAATTTATAGTAGGGCGTGAGCTTAGACCTCTCACCAAGACTATCAATGCAGGAATGCCCAGGCACAGAGAGATTCAGAGAGTTGGTAGCCAATAATGTCCACTATGCAATTGTTAACAGCACTTCTGTCAAATGAACCTCCCATGTGCTGTAGCCCTCCCCATGGAAAAGAGGGCTGGAAACAAAACTGAAAGAGCTAGTCCAACCAACATACTCTGTCACACTTCAGGATTCAAATAAAAGTGAAAGAAGCTTCATGTCAAGTAGCAGCAGACTGCTGTACCACTGTAGGTCTCTGGTTCAGCAGAATCAGGTAGCATGCCTGGAAGATCTCTAGCTTGCAGCTGTGGAGTCAGAGTTTAAGTCATAAAACACTGCACATCTAATCTCTGTTAGGGCAAATGATAGTGTAGAATTATCAAGACAAGCATGACTCAGCCAGCAGAAAAGGAAGAAAAGGCAGCTCATCCAGCAGCAGAGACAGGAAGTAATAACCAAAACTGGTTACCTGGAGCATTAAAAGTACCTCTGTGAATGCCAGAATACTTTTTAAAAAAGGAAAATTTGTAAGAGACTAGAATTTCTAAGTCAGGATTTGAAACCAGCAGGAACTAAGTATTAATGTTCAAAATCAAATATCTCAGGGATATATGGATTATATTTGTGATTAGAGAAACATCTGGCATTTTCTTTCTTGGAATGGAAGCTCCTAAGAGAAGGAAAAAAAGAGCACTTTTGCCCACCAGTTTGTTTCCTTTTTCTGCTGTGGAACATGTAAGGTAACTTTCCTGGAAGCCTTAGTCACCAGATTTTTACAAGGTTGCTTTCTTCTAGACATAAAAATATCAGCAACTCAAGACATTCTCTGGAGAGTTAGTTTTCAGCCAATGTCTCATCAGTATGGCTCTTTAAAGATAGAGTCTCTCTCCATTCTACAGCAAGGAAACATGTAGAGTGGGGTGTGAATGTGAGTGCTGCTTGTGGAGGTAGAACTGAGTGTGAGCTCTAACCACGCCAAATGAGATAACCTTTCAGAATAACTTTCTCATTTTAAAAATTGGTAAAATATCAATTATAATTAGTACTGTATCCTAGGATTATTGTGAAGATTAAAGCAACATGTTAACTGACTTTATTGTTAATCATTTCAAGAATGTATGAATATTAAATCATTGCATTTTACACTTTAAATTTATATGATTTTATTTGTAAATTGTATCTCAACAAAGCAGGAAAACATAAGTAAAGTCAGTAAGGAAGAGCAGATATATATGGGTCAAAAGATTGATTAATTAATCAATTAATTAATACATAGATTTATTACAGCAATTTTCCATATAGTTAATTGTTAATCATTCATCCAACATATATCTAAATGCATTATTGTTAAAATTATTCATATCTTTTCAAAGTAGCTGAGCTGCCTAGTTAACTCAAGGGGTAAAGATAATAGTTATCATTCATTTTGCCAGTCACAGTACTAAGCATTTAACAGGTATCTTAGTTACTTTTCTCATAACTCAGACAAAACACCCAGTACTTAAAGAAGGAATTTTAAGTATTGGGTCTTATAATTTAATTAGACCTTAATTCTAAGGTCTTATAATTTAAGACCTTAGAAATTTTAGAATTATTTAGCCCACAGTTTGCAGTTTCAGTTCATAACTGGCTGGCTCCAAGGCCGGGTGGCATGGCAGACAGACATCACAGTGGAGAAAAAGTTCATGCCTCAGCAAATGGCAACAGCAGCTTTCTTTCTGTCCCTTATATTATTATATTCAGGCTATACACCCTTCAGGTGGCTAGCACTCACACCCAGGATGGAGCTTCCCATTATCCACACTCAGAACTATGCCAAAACAATTAGTGGACTACTTTAATAATCATACACCCTTAATTCTAGCATCACATGCTTTAGACCCAGCCATCTCTGAAAAAATCCTACCTATGACAGCATGAGGTTTTGGGGGGACATCTAAACACAGGCCATAATAGCAAGGATAATGATTTTTATTTTTCACAGCTCTATAGGCAAGACTATTACTGCCCATGTTACAAATGAAGAAAGTCAGGAGTAACCAAAACCAAATACTCAGCTGTAACAGGGCTGTTTAAATCCTCCTCGAGAAGGTATTGTTCTCTCCTAGAAAACAGGCAGGAATTGTGGCTCTGACAGACTAGAAACATGTCGTCCATGCAAATTTCTGCTTTTTATCTGGAAACTTTTTTTTGGCTGGGTCCCTTACAAACTGAGATGTTGAGAACCCTGGCACTGGGAACTCAGAGAACAGATTTCATTCATCACCCATATAACCAAGAATTAAGTATACCTCAAACTTGCTTAAAACAAAGATTTAAATGTCCTATAATGTCTGATCCACTGTTCTGTTTAATTTCAGGGTTTCAGGGATTTTTTTCTGTTTTGGTTCTGGTTTTGTTGGCATTTTTGATCCATGCAATGAATACTTTTTATGGTGCTTAGTGCTGCTAGCTACACTATGGTATTTGTATTGGTATTTACTTCTGATTTCAAGGAATATATATAAACTCGAAAATGTAGGCCTGAAGTGGACCTTAGAAATCATCTGTCTAGTCCAGTAGTCACTTACCAATGACTGAGTAATTAAAGGAATCCTTTCTTTCTAAGCACAGCTCCTTCACTTTCATGCTTTATAGGGTTAGTTTCCATTTAATGTTTCTTTAAACAAAATTTGAGGAAATCGCTAGCAGAGGCTTGAGGAAGGGACTGTGAGGATATAGAGGAGAAGGACTGGGTCAAGGTTTTGGACAGGAGGTGATCTAAAACTGTGCTTCTTAAGTGGGATGAGGGAAGTGGGAGAATTATAAAGAAAAGCATCAATAAATGCTAGAAAAAGAAAAAGCAGAACTTAGAATGGAAAATAATTGGTACATCTGGACTTTGAAGACCATTGAATATGGCAGGCCCTCAATAGATAGATAGCTAATGAATTAAGTAAACAATTATTCTGGAGGAATTAAGCTATAAAAATCAGTTCATGAAAGAGATTATAGGCCTATTCAAGATGTTAGGATTTTATTCTCTAAAGTAGAACTTGAAATGCAAATGTCTACAGGATCCCATATAAAATGACAATATGCAATATAACAACCATTGCTGATTTCCTCTCATGTTTGAAATTCTGTATCATTTTTATTGTTGTTTTTCTCTTTGCAATTAAAAAAAAAGAAAATGTAAATAAAAGGGCCAGATGTGAAACCACGATAGTTGCAGGTGTATCTTACTAATTAGTGTGTGTAAAGAATTTCAGGGGTCTCTACCAACAAGGACTTCTAAATTATGTAGGCTAGATAGACAATAGAGTAGTCTGCTATCTTCTTACTCTTCAGATCAACTGGCATCCCCAAAGCACTGCTAATTCTGGAAAACAATCCACAACAGAATAGAGCCAGCCCAAACTGGTGATGGACTACAATCCCGTGATGCAAAGCAAGAGCGCAGACAAACTTAGCTATGGTTCCTCCTAGGAACCGAAACGTTATAATCACCTACTGGGAAAACTTGCCCAGTTTCTCAGCAGTTCACTTCGAAAGATAAAGCTAGTACAAAGAATGCCAACTACTTGTCACAGGATTAGATTTAACCTAGCTCGGAGAGAGCCAGAAGCAGACACTCCGGGGGGCACTTCCGGGGCGGGCGCGTGACGTCACTTCCGGGGAGCGGGCCCAAGCCAGCCGGTCCCTCCTCCTCGGCGGGATCTCCGGCGCGTTGGCCGCGCCGAGTCTGGGAAACGTGCTGAGTGGGTGCTTTGGGAACGGAAGGTCACGTGAATTATCGGGTTCTGTCAGGGAGGCGAAAGCTGCCGACAGGAGTGGGGTTTCAATCCCCGGGAAGCGCGCTGGAGCTGCATCCCGCAGTGCGCGAAGGTGAGGACGGGTGGGGGCGCTGCGCTGGCTCCGGGCGGGTGACATCTGCCCTCCGCACGTCTGGCGGGAGTCGCGAGAGGCGGAGACCCCGCAGGCCCCCGACGCCGACCCCTGCCGCCGTGCCGGCCCTTGAGCGCTCTGCTGCCCACGGAGCTCAAGACCCTACCCTGCGCGGGGCGCACACCCCGACCGTGTCGGCCCAGGGTTTCTCCACGTCCTCTGCCCACCCAGTCGCGCTCACCTGCTTGCTCAGAACCCGACCGAGCTGAGAGCGAGGGGATCTCTCCTGCCGCATCTCCCGCAAGGACAGACGTGCACTCTGACGAGCACAGTGTGCTTTCCTAACGCTTGGGTAGCGCCCACTGCTTTGGAGCCAGGGGCTGTGTCGACCCGCTCCCTTATCTCAGCCTGGGGCCTCAGGTAGTGGAGTGGCCAGGGGTAGGGCCGTCCCCTAGGCCTTGAGAAGATTGCGATCTCACTTTTTGTGTACTGCTTTGGGGGGAGGCCATCAGAAGGAACGGAGGAGCAAAGAAACAACTCGAGTTTCTTGAATCTTTGATTACGAGGAAGGTTGCCGAAAGCCATGTGCTGAGTTTTAAATATTGTTTCCAAACCCCTGGGACTCCTTTCCTACCCTTCTCACCAATAGAATTGCGTGGGTGAACTTGGGCAGGCAGAGCCTTGGTTGCTCTGTATAGTCCTGTCATTTTGTTGGTTTACGTATACAATTTTTTATAAGCTTGTTATTTAACAATTTAATGATAAACCATTATTTCTTTGTTATTATGAACTTATTCTGGTGCAAGATACACTACTTCTTTTGATAACAGATTATTGAGTATGAGTCTATAAAGATTTGTTAAGTCCTCTCAGTTAATTAGAAAACTAATATCCACCTGAAAGCTGAAGTATGCTTTTAAATCATTTGATCTGTTTAATATTTAATTGGATTTTATTGATTAATTTGATCGTTTGTCCAATACATTTGATTCTGTTTTATAAAATGTTATTTTTAGAGCAGTTGTTACTACATTTGATTCACTGTTATAATGTGTGTAAAGTTTCACTAATTAAATCAAAATGTAATGCAATTTTCCTCCTTTTTCTTTTCTCCTTCCTATTGTATATAGGACTATCAGGACATTCTAGAAGAAAGTTTCAGGAGAATCTTTCCTACTGTTTTATACTAGTTTTCTTTTCTTTGTTTTCTTTTTGGCGGTGCTGGGAATCAAATCAGGTTAAAAATGAACATTAAAAATCCTTCACAAAGAAATAAAGTGGGTAAAAAAGATAACATGACGCAAGGGTCAAGGAAAGGGCTGTGAAGTAGTTTTACTGTTTTTACGTTGTGAATGAGAGTCCTTCGTCACTTCTGAGATTTTTAAAAAGAGGTTTGAAGTCTGTTTTCATTCCAAATAAAATAATAATCACAAAATTTAAAAGAACATTTTTCTTTTAGATTTTGCTTTAGATTAAAGAGTAATCTTTCAATATGTCCTTCTTATTTTTAGATAATGAATTCTAAGAAGAAAATGGATTACCTAGTAGTTGTTTGCTAAGCGTTTGGACTCAGCAGGGTACAGATTCGTTGCAGAGGCAGAAAATGGCAACTCCTTATGTCCCAGTTCCTATGCCCATAGGAAACTCCGCTTCTAGTTTTACAGCCAACAGAAATCAAAGAAGTTCTTCTTTTAGCAGCGTCTCAACAAGCTCAAACTCCTCCAAAGGCCAGTTAGAAGATTCAAATATGGGTAATTATAAACAGACAAGTGTTCCTGATCAGCTGGACAGAACTTCATCTATCTGTAGCAGTCCTCTCATTAGAACTAAGTTTACAGGTACAGATTCATCCATTGAGTATTCTACTAGACCAAGAGAAACTGAAGAACAAACTCCTGAAACAGTGAATTTGGAGGATAGACCATCTACGCCTACTATTTTGGGTTATGAGGTGATGGAAGAAAGAGCAAAATTTACTGTAAGTATTAACTTCTGTAAAGCAATAGAAAGTGAAACATTGGCCGGGCGTGGTGGCACACGCCTGTAATCCCAGCACTCGGGAAGCTGAGGCAGGAGGATCGTTGCGAGTTCGAGACCAGCCTGGGCTACAAAGTGAGCTCAAGATCAGCTTGAACTGCATAGTGAGACCCTGTCTCAAAAAGACAAGAAAAAAAAAAAAAGAAAGTGAAAGATTGGCTGGCCTATGTATTTAAACTATTGTTAATTAATGTAAACCTGTACTTAAAATCTCTTAGTATAAAATTCTGATTTTTGTATCACTAAATTCTCTCGTGTTGTAGTAAACTTTTATTTTACCTTAATGAATTTTCACAGAGCAGACACACCTATGTGGCCAGTATTATACAGTAAGGAACAACATTACTAGCATTTTAAGTCTTCACACTCTCTGCCAATCTGTACCCACTCCCCCAATGCTTTTCTGGTAGTGAGATTATTTTGCCTATTTTTGTACTATATATAAATGAAAGTGCTGAGTATGTACTCTTATGGGTCTGATCTCACTTCTTCAGCACTGTGTTTATAGGAATCATCCTTGATCTTGCATGAATTGTAGGTAGCTCATTTTTTATTACTGATTATTTATGTGATGAACACAATTTATTTTTTGAGATTCTTACTAGTACTACTGCTGTGACCATTTTAGTACATAGGACTTGATAAACACATATATACACATTTCTATTTGTTATCTACCTGGGAATAAAATTGCTAGTTCATGGGCCTAGCTTTAGAAGACTATGATGAACAACATTCCAAAGTAATTACATCAGTCTATACTACCCCAGCAGTGTGTGATTTCCAGTTGCTCCACAAACACATGGTATTTTTCCTTGTTTTTCTTTTTCCTATTGTGGTTTATATAGAATATCACATTGTGGTTTTAAATTTTCTTAATGACAAATTAAAGATTTTTTTTTTTAAGTTTTTAGCCATTTGGATATTCTCTTGTGAAATGTCTGTTCAAGATTTTTGTTCATACCGGGCGTGGTGGCACACGCCTGTAATCCCAGCACTCGGGAGGCTGAGGCAGGAGGATCGTTGTGAGTTCGAGGCCAACCTGGGCTACAAAGTGAGCTCAAGGCCAGCCTGAACTGCATAGCGAGAACTTGTCTCAATACCAACAAAAAAAAAAAAAAAAAAAAAGATTTTTGTTCATTTTTCTTTTGGGAAGTTTCCAGTTTTACTTGTAGTTCTTCTATGTATTTGGGATGTAAGTTTTTTTAAATATATGTATCATGACTGTCCTCTTGTTTTTTGTCTTTTCACTTCCTTAATAATACATTTGAAAACAAAAGTTCTTAATTTTGATATAGTCCAGTTAATTAAAATTTTCTTTTATGGCTAGCATGTTTTGAAATCTTTGCCTACTCCAAGATTACAAAGATATTATCCCCTACTTTCTTATAAAAAATTTTTTGGTTGGGCCTTTCATACTGAGATTTGCAAAGTATCTGGAATTGATTTTTGTCTGTGACATAAGAGTCATGGCATTTTATTTTTTCTGTGTGAGATCACTTAGTCAAGCTCTATTAAAAAGACCACCTTACTCTGCATTTGCAGTATTGCTTATGTCATAATTATGTGACTGTAAATACCTGAGGATGTGGTGTTCCATTTTCCTATCCATTGCTAACTACAGAGACTTAATTACTGAACTTGTGATCTCGCTTAGGAGAGAAGGAATAGAAGCAAGAAGCAGTTCTTGCAATAATACAAAAGAGGCATGATAAACTACCATGTGGAGGAGATCTTGAGACATTTGGTGATTCTAGATCTATCCTGAAGAAAAAGCCAGCATTATTTTCAAATAATTTAGAAGTGGAATGTGGGAAAAAGAAATGAAAGTTGACTTCAGAGGTCTTGACCTAAACAGTAAGACTAAGGTTGCCATTTAATTAGATGTGAGGTTCTAAGAGGATCTTTAGGGTTTGTTTTTGGACATTGTCAGATTTAAGATGTCTATTAGACTTTCAAATAGAGAAGTCAGATGTGTGTGTGTAAACACATACATTATACATATATAAATAACGTGTACAGATGTATGTTTTGTGTATATATACAAGTTTTGTTTAGAGAAGTCAGAACTAGACATTCAAGATTGGGAACCTTACATCTGCAAAATAATTTTTTCCTAAATGTCTTCCTTTAAATTGATCTCTTAACCTTAAAGTTGACCTTTTAACTGAAGAAGGTATTAGGACTCACTGTCAAAATCTGATAATGTGTCTAATGTCAGGTCTCTGCAAAGGGTGTTTAAAAATAAAGTGACTAGGGTAGGTCGTGACTAGAATTGGAAAGGAGACATGAGGACTTCTTCAATTGGTTATTTTCCCTACTACTTACATGGGTGTGTTCACTTTGTAAAAATTCATCAGGTTGTAGGCCTATAATTTGTGTACTCGTCTGTAGATATACTTTTAATTTAACATATAATTCACTTAAAAACCCAGAAAGAACTACATAAAAT